TGCAGAGCCCCCTTACCGCTCCCTGTCCAGCTCCAGCACTGCCACGGGGACCACGACCGTGGAGTGTGCCAAGGCACAGGGCAGCTCCGAGTCGCTCATGTCCCCCTCTGTCTCCCGGGCTACAACACCCTCCCAGCTCTCTGCCGAGGTGGACACCAAGACCTCCTCCCCCAGCAGGCCCCCGGGGCTGATGTCTCCATCCAGTGGGTACTCCAGCCAGTCCGAGACCCCGACCCCCACCGTGCCCACCTCCGCCGTCCTCAGGCACTCCCCACGCCAGGTCCGGGTGAGGCCACTGGTGCCCGAGAGGAAGTCCTCCCTGCCCCCCACATCCCCCATGGAGAGGAGCCCCAAGGCCCGGCTATCCTTCGACCTGCCGCTCACACCCCCAGCCCACCTTGACCTCTCGGGGCTGAAGATCTCCCTGAAGGGGAAGAAGAAGGTCAGCCGGCACCACTCCGACTCCACCACGTTCGCCACCAAGCTGGCTCAGAAGAGCAGCCCCATCGCACCCATCATGCCAGTGGTGACACAGTCCGACCTGCGCTCTGTGCGCCTGCGCTCCATCAGCCGTTCTGAGCCCGAGGACAACGCCGATGGCCCCGAGCATGCGGAGGAGCCGCTGCGCGTGCCCTGCCCAGTGCCTGACAGGAAGGTGAAGCCGCCGGTGGCAGAGAAGCCACCGCTGGCCAAGCGGCCCCCCAGCATCCTGCCCAAGCCCCCAGCACTGCGGGAGGAGGGCCCCCTGTCCCCCACATCCCCGCTGGGCACCGCAGCCACCGCCACCACCAAGGGGATACCGCAGGATGGCTTCACGGCTCTGCGGAAAGGGGAGCTGAGGAGGGGCCCAGGGGAGCCCCCCACAGCCCCAGTGCCGGTGATGGGACTGAGGCGGCTCTCGCACGACAGCCTGGAGGATGAGCCGTGGCCGCCGCGGAGGAAGGCTAAGGTGCCGCCTCCAGTACCCAAGAAGCCCAGCGTTCTGTACCTGCCGCTCGTGCCAGCCCTGGTGCCGGGAGCCAGTACGGGTGACCCAGCACCTACCCCCAGCCCCATCATCACGCTGGATGCTGACCCCACATGCTGCGACCCTGATGCTGAGGACCTGTCACCCCCAGGGACTCTGGGCACTGCGGCAGCCACTGATGCCCCCCCGGAGCAAGGTGAGGGTCTCTCCACTCCTGCAGTGGTTTTACTCCAGAACAGGGCAGAGCAGGGCAGGGGCTCCATTGCCGCACAGGGTGGTTCACCACCGTTTCCTCCCACCACAGACAGCTCGGCAGACCCTGGCACAGAGGAGAAGAGCTTTGCCAGTGACAAGACGGCTGAGTCCATCGCTGAGGAGGATGACGACGTGTTCATGACATCCCGTACCACGGAGGATCTCTTCACTGTGATCCACAGGTATGTGGCTCCTTCTGTGCCAGTGCCACATATCAGGTGTTCACACTTGAGGCTTCTGCTGCCTTGGGCCCCACAGAGTTCAACACCCTGAGTCTGCAGCCAGGCTGGGACCACTGGCTCCCAAGGGGGTTGGGGGGGCTCTACTGCTCCATCAGCCTTGAGGTGATTCAGGCCTTGCTGCCAGGGGAGTGTTTGCCAGCACTTTGGTGCATCCCCTGTCATGCATGGGTTATCTTCCTGCCCCAGTGGAGCCGGCAGAGCAACAGGGAAGACTGAGACTTAGGCAGAAGCTCTTCCCTGTGAGGGTGCTGAGGCGCTGGCACAGGGTGCCCAGAGAAGCTGTGGCTGCCCCATCCCTGGCAGTGTTCAAGGCTGGAGCAACCTGCTTTAGTGGGAGGTGTCCCTACCCATGGCAAGGGGTTGGGATAAGCTTTAGGGTCCCTTCAACCCAAACCAGTCTCATCCCATACAGACACTGGCAGCAGCTCTCACCTGGGGCTGCTCCCACCACATATCTCTTTGGTGCCCAGGTCAAAGAGGAAGGTCCTGGGGCGGAAAGAGCCTGGTGACACCTTTGCCAGCCGGCCCAACTCCCACTTGCCCGTCACGACTTCGGGCTCCCCGACCAGCGAGTCCCCAGCAGCAGTTGCAGTGGCAGCACCAGGCAGCACCGGGAAGTCTTCCAGCAGGAACGAAGACTTTAAAGCCCTCCTGCAGAAAAAGAGCAGCAAAACCAGTGCCGGCACTCGGCCATCTGCTGCTGAACTGCTCAAGACCACAAACCCGCTGGCTCGGAGGGTCATGACGGAGTTTGCCCCCGAGCTGGACAGTGCCAGCAGCCCCAGGAGCCAGCCCTAACCATGCATGGTCCCTTCTGGCCATGGAGGGCTGGAGATGGCTGCAGAAGGAGCGTTGCTGCGGATGCGGCAGCCCAGCTGCCCACTAAGCCCCAGGTCCCACCAAGGGCTTTCTTCTGCCTTTGTTTCTTCCTTGGAGAGCTGCATTTGGAGCCCAAGTGTCTCTGACGGAGCAGGGCCAAATACAGGTGGGAAGAAGAGGCCCCACAGATGGGACCATCCTGACTGCTTGAGAGGCAGAGTGGGATGGCAGCCTTGCAGCGAAGCTAGCTTGAAACTGTGTGGTCACTTCGGCATGTGGTACTTTAAATGGCTTTTCTAATGCACAGTGGTGATGATGATGTTTTATTCTCTTTCGTTTGACACTGTACCTTGAGTTTCCCAGGCAAAGATCCCAGGTTTGAGTTCGGCTGGATACACGGAGATGTACTTTGGGAAGATGTGAGGGGGCTGGCTGGAACCAAGGTTGCTTTTGACGAGCCACTAGAGGTTCCCCCTCCTCATCCCGAGCACCCTCCCTGCCACATGGGGACACAGCACCCAGTGCCCGCAGCCAGCGTGACGACCTCAAGCCAACCCCAGCCCTTGAAAGCCCCCAAAATGCTGCATTTCAGAGCTCGGCTCTCAGTCCGAAAGCAAACCCCAGGGTCGTCTCCACCACCAGTGCCGGGAGCCTCGTCCCGTCTGGTGTGCCACATGTGGAGGGAGCTCCACTGGCCTCCCTGTGCCCCACAGCCCCCTGGCACCAGCCCTGGCATCAGGTGCCTCATGCATCGCACCAGAGCACAAGCACCGCCTGCAAACATCGGTCACGTCACCGCCGGAGCACAGAGGCTGCCACCAAGCCATTGGCCAGACCCATCCAGACGCCACCTCCGGTGACTCCCGGGGTCCCTCTGGGGTTACCCCCTGCAGCAGTCTCCCATGGGTAACCCTGAGGAGGGGGCACATTCTGTGTCGGCGCTGGCGGACACGGTGCCAACACCGCTGAAAGGTGGTCTGCACGTCCCCGGCTGAGATCAAGCCCTTTTCCTGAGGCACAGCAGCAGGTGCAGGGTGGGATTCATCCCCCTGGACCCCTGCTGCTTCGCACTGGCTTGGCTCCACGTGGGAGCAGAGGCCGCGGTAATGGGTCAGGATCAGGCGCAAGGCCGGGGCAGGGCACCGGGGGAGGGCAGGGCACCGGAGGAGGGCAGGGCTCTGGGAAAGCACAAGCACCAGCCCCAGCTCTGAGCGCGTTTAGAACAATTTCTGCTTTATTCCCCAATGTGTCCATGCTGGCCGCAGCGTGGCCTGATGCTCCCAGGGGAGCAGGGGGCACCGGAGCGAGGGGCCAGGGCCAGGGCCTGGGGGGTCTCTGTCCTCCTGGGAACAGAGCCCCATGTTCACTGCCATCCACGCACCCTGGCTGAATTTGACCCTCCAGGAGGATCCACGCCCCTCACAGTTGATTCCCCTTCACCTCGGTCCCATGACTTGCACATGGCTCCCTGCCCTCTCCGGGGCTGCAGATTTAAGCCTGTAATTCAGATCCAGGCTGAGAAACTCAGGAAAAAAATGGAAAAACCCAAGGAAAAGAAGTGCTATGAGATGTCCCTGCTCTAGCCCCTGCCCGGCCCCGGCTCCGCGCCCGCTCCCGGCCCCGCTGCTGCCCAGCCTGGCACAGGGTCTGTTGTGCTGGGAGGGGGCATGGGAACGGGGAGGGAAGCTCTGGAACGGGTCCGTTTTGCACATGACTGCTCAGGAAACTGGTGGTGGCGGTGGCCACGGGACGGCGGCGAAGCGGGCTGGGGACATGGGGGCTGCCCCTGCAGAAACCCAGCACTGGCGGGTTGTCCGCTGTCAGATAAGGGATGTCTGGAGAAGGTGGCTCCTGGCTGCCGAGAGATCCCCGGTTCTCGAATGGGCTCTTCCCGGTGGAGCTGTCCCTGACCATTCACCCTCTCCTCCCTCTGCGGGTGCAGAGGTGCTGGGGAGCGCCCGGGCAGCGGCGCCGGCCCCCTCGCGGGCCCATGCTCCCGGTGTGCACTGTTCACCTGCCAGCTCCAGCTTGGTAAACTGCTCCTGCTGACGGCTGCCTCTGCGTGCTTCTTGTGCCTGCCGCGGGGCCGGGCGTTGGGAACGTGAACCCTGACACCGCCGGGGTGGCTCGATGGGACCCCGGAGGGGGCGCGGGGCCTCCCACAGCGTCTGCCGTGTGCCCGAGTACCCCAATGGCTCTGTGTGAGCGCAGGGACACTGCGGGGAGGGGGGCGACCCAGGGGTGGGTGCTGGGGTCGTGCTGGGGTGCTGGGGTCAGCCTAGGGTGGGAGCTGGGATGGATGCGAGGAGGTGGGGATGGTGTGGGGAGCTGGGACGGACAGAGGTCCTGGGGGAAGGCAGCATCCCAGCATCACCCAGGTTGGAAAAGCCCTTTAAGCTCCTCCAGTCCAACCTTTCCCAGCCCTGCCAAGGGGTGTGAACACTTGCAGGGCCGGTGACTGCAGCCCTGCCCTGGGCAGCCTGTTCCAATGCCTGAGCACCCTCTGGGGCGGGAATTGTTCCTCAGCTCCACCTGAACCTGCCCTGATGCAGCTTGAGGCCGGTTCCTCTTGTCCCATCCCTTGCTCCTTGTGAGCAGAGCCCAGCCCGCTCCTGGCTGGCTTCAGTCCCGGTGCCGCTCTGCGCAGGACGCACCTCGGCCACCAGCGCGGTCCCTTCCACCCCTCCAGCGCCGCCGCTACCGCCCTACCGCGGGGTCTTGCGGGCGCGGGGCAGCCCCGAAGCGGCCGGTCCCGGCGCGGCGCGGGCAGCCCGGGGGCCTCGCACGGCCGGGTGGCGGCAGCATGGCGCCCAAGGGAAAGGGAGGTGGCAAGGCTGCCAAGGGTGAGCGGCGGGGACCGGCGGGGTGGAACCGGGGCGGCCCCGGGGAGGCCCGGGGCGGCGGGGGACCGGGGGCCGCGGGCACCGAGCTGGTCTCAGGGAGCTGCGTTCACAGGCGGCGACAGCGGCAGCAGCGATGGCAAAGCCCAGGGCCCGAAGGGAGGCGGCAACGCCGTGAAGGTGAGAGCGGGGTCCGCCGGGGGGGCCCTTCCCGCTCCCGGCCCGGCTCTCACGGCCCCGCTTGGCACCCTCGCCCCGCAGGTCCGGCATATCCTGTGTGAGAAGCACGGCAAAGCCATGGAGGCCATGGAGAAGCTCAAGTCTGGGCAGCGCTTCAGCGAGGTGGCCTCGCAGTACAGCGAGGACAAAGCCCGGCAAGGGGTACGGGGAGCACAGGGGGGAGGCCGCGGCCCGCGGGGACCCGGTCTGCTCTGCTCGCCGATGGCTGCGTGCCCCCAGAATATGCTGCTGGGGCGCAGGAGGCTGGTTCGGCAGCTGCGGGCGCAGTCGTGAGCAAACACTGGTGGGGGCAGAGTTAATTCAGGGATAAATGGTTGGTTGCAGCAGGTCTGAGGCACAGGAGCCCCCGGGGCAGCAGGACTTTAGATGTGCTGGCTGGGAGGCAGCCCGGGGTGAGGAGCTCTTCCCAGCCCTGTACTGCCTCACAGCGTGTGTGCTGCTGGGACAGATGCTGCCAGAATAGGTTTTGGGACAGGTTTCCACCCCCTCCCTCCCTGCTGCCCAGGCTGCTGCTGCTGCAGTGACAGCCTCAAAGCTTAACCCTCACGGTTCCTTTTTGTAGGGAGACCTGGGCTGGATGACCAGAGGCTCCATGGTGGGACCATTTCAGGAGGCAGCGTTCGCCCTGCCTGTGAGCAGCATGGACAAGCCGGTGTATACAGACCCCCCGGTCAAAACAAAGTTTGGGTACCACATTATCATGGTGGAAGGCAGAAAATAAAATGTGAATGACCATGAGTGTATTGGCTGCTTGAATCCCAAGAGCTTTCCAGACACCACAGCCCTGGAGCAAGCCAGTGGTTACCAGCAGCTTGTTTGGAGGCAGCGCCCATCCTGCTGCCGTGGCAGGACACAGGTTAGATGTGGCAGAGAGCAGGGCTCTGCCTAGAGAGGCAGGGCATTCCTTGGAAAAGGTGAAGCAAGAGCTCTGTGCTCTGCTTTTCCTGGCTGGCCAGCCTCTTGCTTTTGCCATTGTGGAAACAGTGACACTTGGAGGAGGTACTCAGGCTTACAGTGGTCACCCTGCAGAGGTGCAGGTCCAGTGCCCTGGCTGAGCAGCAGTGGGGAGGAGGAATCCTCCCAAGTTCAGTTTCCCATACCTAAAGCTACATCTTTGCCTGCTCAAAGCTGCAGTGGAAGACACTGCGTACCTCATGCTTGTGTGAGAAAAGCCACTAAATGCTTGTTGCTGCCTGCACTCCCCTCCTGCTAAGTGTGCAGTGCATGTGTCAGGCCTCACAGGCTGCACCTCATCCTTCTGATGAAACTATCTGAGGGACAGTACGATGTGCTTGGTGGTGGACGACAGGAAGCTCCCCATGACCCGGCCATGTGCACTGTGGCCCAGAACCCCACCATGTGCTGGGCTGCACCCCAAGAGTATGAGCAGCATGTCAAGGGAGGGGATACTCCTCTGCTGTGCTCTGGGTAGACCCCCCTCTGCAGTCGTGTTCCAGCTCTGGGGCAACAGCACCAGAGGGATGTGGAGCTGTTGAAGCGAGTCCAGAGGAGGCCACAGAGATGCTGCAAGGGCTGGAGCAGCTCTGCTCTGGAGCCAGCCTGAGAGAGCTTGGCTGGGTCAGCCTGGAGAAAAGAAGGCTCCTTAAGGGGAGACCTGAGAGCAGCTCCAGTGCCTAAAGGGGCTGCAGGAAACCTGGAGAGGGGCTTGGGACAAGGGATGTAGGGACAGGACAAGGGGAATGGCTTTAACCTGCCAGAGGGGAGACTGAGATGAGCTCTTAGGCAGAAGCTCTTCCCTGTGAGGGTGCTGAGGCGCTGGCACAGGGTGCCCAGAGAAGCTGTGGCTGCCCCATTCCTGGCAGTGTTCAAGGCCAGGTTGGACACAGGGGCTTGGAGCAAGCTGGTCTAGTGGGAGGTGTCCTTGCCTGTGGCAAGGGTTTGGAACTGGATGAGCATTAAGGTCTCTTCGACACAAACCAGGCTGGGATTCTGTGATTGATGCGAACGAGTCAGCCCTGCAGGTCTCTTGGATCTTGGCAATCCATATCCCAGTGCAGGGAGCCCCTTCCTGAAGTAGAGCTCCAGCAGTGGACTCTGGCTTTGTTTGCTGGTGAGCATCGTGCAGCGTCTGAATGCTTGGAGATAGGGAGAAAACACCAAAGACCAAAAGGCCTTTCCCAAGATGATATATAAAGATGAAGCTAGACCAAAACCAGGGCAGGTCTTTCTCCTCCCTCTATTTTGGGGTGTTTTGTTAAGGGACTGGAAAGCTCAGAGAGCCCACAAACAACTGCAGCGCTCTGGTTCATGAGTATTCTGTTAAAAACGGCAGCCAGGCCTTTCCCCAGCACCAGAGCAGATGTGGCCTCATTTAAGGGATGCTCTATTAATAAACTGCTTGTTTCCAGTCTACCAGAGCTTTGTTCTACCTCTTAGCAGGAGCGCACTGGCACATCCCCTGTACGACCCGCATGGGGGTTTGTGTCTGCCATCTCTCCTAGTATAAAGGAGTCACATTCAGCAGACCAGTTTCCTCTCTCAGACCTGAGCAAGGTGTAAAGGTATCCCCTGCTCTTTAGGGCAGCAGCCAGACCTGGTAGGCACAAAATGTGCACGTGGCATGAGGAAGCACTGAAGTCCAGTGCTGTATTGTCCCAAGGGAAGACAGACACAGTGATGAGCTGAGTTTCCCTCAGCATGACAGCAGAGGGGCAGGGCAGGCAAGCTGACCACTCTGAAAATGACTGCAAGGTTCTTCTGATGCTAAGCTCTCTTGTTTCCAAGCTATGAACCACATCATTGTGGCTACTGTGCCAGAGAGATGGTTCATCTACCACAGCTGAGGTGGTAAGTGGGAAGAGGGTTAGAGGACAAGCAGCCTGAACTTTAACACCAGTTCTCCCCTCTCCTGCTGCCTTTGTGCAGAACAGGCTTTGCCTGCGCTGCCTGGAGGTAAATGGAGATGGAAGAAAACAAGATCGGACTGGAGCCACCTCTGAGGCTCCCCCAGCACCACCAGGAGGTGAGAGCTGCAGCAGTTCAGCTCCAACTGCTGGTCCATTCCCTCCACAGCCCCTGCCTCTACCCCCCTCAACAGCAACTGCAGCCTGGCAGGGGTTGGAGCAGGAGGGTTTCTACACCCTCAGCACCCTCTGGGGAGAGGCAGGGACAGGATATGCAGGAGGCTGCAGCCAGGGCTGGGAGCTGGAGATAGGGTTAGCCATAAAGGAGTTTTTATTAAATAACCAGACAGCAGCCTGACACATGAACCATTTTCATCTCTGTGAAGCGATGCCCCAGGTAAACCCCTTCCCCAGCACCTGACAAGTGGGTTTCGGGCTTTTCCTCATGCAGGAGAAGGTGCTGAAGTTGTTCAGCCACCACAAAAGAAGTGCATTTGGCAGCATTCAGTCTCAAATCACAGTGTAGTTCAGACAGGCATTTAACAAGACAATGTTAAAGCTGTACTTACCAAAGGTATAACGGCTGCTTCATTTCTGGGCTAGCTGTCTGTACAGGTTTAAAGTCATGAGCATAACTTCAGGATCACCACTTTTGATGTCAAGAGCTTGCAGGAAACAGTTCAATGCCTCCTGTAGCTTTCCATCATCCTGAAGTTTTTTCCCACTGTCTACCAAGGTCTTGTAATCTCCTGCAGCAGGAGAAGAGCTCTGACCCACCTCTGTTTCAGGGACACTTTCCTGGGTGCAGTACTCTATCTGATCCCCTGACAGAAGCTCAACATCGCCAGTGGATTCCTCCTGAGAGGACTCAGTGTCATCCACTTCCAACTGCTCAGAGGACATGCTGTCCAGGTGGGAAGACTTCTCAGCTGTACCAAGCGTTTCTCCAGCGGGTTCTTCTTCAGGCTCCACAGATTCCCCACTGCACTCTTCAGCTTCTTCTTCCACGAGGTCATCCTGCTCCTCATTGCTGTCCTCTTCATCAGTGGTTCCCATGAGTTCTCCAATATCCTCCACCTCATCTACCACCTTGTTTATCAGAGACCGTCTGGAAGCAGTAGACCTGTTGCCGCTGTTGCTCAGCTGGGGAGAAAAACCAGCTTGTGCTATACCTTTGTCACATTTAGGAGTGGATGTGCCAATTCCCCCCAGGAATGGGTGCAGGGGGCTGTTCAAGGGAGAAGGCCTTTTTTCAGGCTGATTTTCCTGCGAGAGCATAACAGAATGCTCTTCATCCTCACTGTCTGAAACAAGTCTTTTTAAGGTTTTTTTTCTACCAAAAGCAAAGTCATCGCTGCTTTCCTCTGATGCTTCACTTCCTTGCAGGGAGGTATTTGGCATTTCTTCAGCTGCATGACAGGGTTCTCTACAGTTACCATTCTCACTGGGCCAAGCTTTTCCTGGAGATCTTTTGGCGGGAGACTTACAAAAGCTTCCTGCTTCCTGTGGGAAGCCCTCCCCTCCTGCACATCCAACTGATCTTTCCCTAGTTGAGGCATCTTGGCATCCATCATCAGACTCTTCCAAGACCAGATTGAAGTCAACTTGATCCTGGAGAGAAGGCACAGACATCTCCTCCAAGCTGGCTTCCAGCACACGAGGCTTCTGGAGCCCAGCATGGATCTCTGGTGTAACATGGGCTAAGTCTGGCGCTGCAGCAGCCCAAGCGAGCTCAGGAGCATCATCCTTCTCTGCCCCCGAGGCATCACATGGATCACGTACCTCACTTGGCATTTCTGCCTCTCTTAACCTCTCAGGATCGTTAGAGGAATGATGGGGACACACAGACAGGTCCTTCCCTGCCTCAACCAAGCTGTCCGCATGTATATGGGAACACTGCTCCTGCTCGAGTCTCTGACTATCCCTGTCAAGTCCATGTGAAGATGGCATCATGCTTGAGTTAAGGTTTTGTTCAGATTCCTCTGTATTGGATTGTTTCACTGTCTTGCTGGTATTAAGCAGCTCTGTATCCACACTGGACATATCTTGTGCTGGTTTCTCTTCATCCAAGTCCTCAATAGTCAGATTAGTTATTTTGGAGCTGACATTAAGAGCTTGGACTTCCATGTCCTCTGTAAGATCAATAACTTTGTAATGTTTGTGCTTGTCAGCTACTCCTGGTGAAACAGTGTGATTTATGTTGTTCAGCCTTGGAGACAACTTCTTTGGCTTGGAAACTAACTCCAGAGGCCTTTGCCACATCTGTTCACAATCATTTCTGATACCCTCCATCCTGTGGTCTCTAAGTTGAGACTCCAACTGAACCAGCTCATGGGCTTTCTGTACCCTCTGCTGAATGTACTGGTGGGCTTCTTCACTCTCAGCCTGCTCCTCGTGAGCAGTTTCCCTTGTGTATATCAAGTCGTGGTCAGAAATGCCAAACATATCCAGGGAGTGCAGGTAAGCAATGTGCTCGTCCAGCTGCAGGTCAGTCTGTCTCTGGGTGGCATGCAAGGACTGCAGCTGGATCTGGGTTGCAGATGTTCGAGTATCTTCTAACGTGAAAAGCTCCCTTAGTTCCTGTTTGGAGAAATACCGGAACGGGTTCTTTTTGTCACCAGTGGTCTGTCTTATTAATGAGTCCTTGAATACCTGTCTCCTGTATATCTTCTCCTCCACCGTGCCGCAGGTTATCAGCCTGTAAATGACCACATTCTCTTTCTGCCCGATCCTGTAAGCTCTGTCTACAGCCTGTGCATCCGTGGCTGGGTTCCAGCTAGGATCAAAGATCACCACTCTGCTGGCTGCCGTCAAGGTTATGCCAACGCCACCAACCTGTGTGGTGAGCAGGAACACAGAGTAGTCCCTGTTCCTCTGGAAGGTGGAGATGCGCTTCTCCCTCTCTAGCAGGTGGGTCACAGTGCCATCGATGCGCATGATCCGGAACTGCCGGCAGGACAGGACGTGCTCAATGATATCCAGCATCTTCCTAGACTGCGAGAACACCAGTGTCTGGTGCCCCTCTTCCCGCAGTCTTTCCAGAAGTCCCACAAGGAATAGCAGTTTTCCGGACTCCTGAATCAGGGTCTCTTCGGAGAGGTGGTCTATCTTGCTGGTGCCTGCAAGCATGCCAGCTTCGCTCGCAGGCTCCTGCTCTTCCAGGCCCAGCTGGACACATGCCCTTGCAGGCAGAAGCCTGGGGTGGTCACACAGCTTCTTCAGGACAGTCAGCTCAGCCAGAGGCGATCGCGTTGTCATCAGCACTTCTTTTACATGATCCAGAGAGAGAAAGTTCCTGTAGATTTCTTCCTGCACTGCTGCCAAGTACACCCACACCACAAAGTCATTCTTCCTGGTGAGAGATGGCATGATGGGGGCACTGTTCTCGCTTGGACCCTCGGGAAGAGGAGCATCTGGCCTGTTGGTGTAGCTGGTTTTGATATCTTCTTTGGTTCTCCTGAGGAAATAAGGCTTTATAATTGTCATCAGGTTCTCAGACATCTTTAGCCCCAGCGCTTTCTCACCTAGAGTCGCGTCCTTCTCCCTCGCCCTGGTAATGGGATTCTCGTACTCGATTTTGAAAGTCTTGGCTGTCCCCAGGAGGGAGCCTTGGCATGCAAAGTCAAACAGGGACCACATTTCCTGCAGGTTGTTCTGCAAGGGGGTGCCAGTGAGCAGGAGGCGATGCCTGGCAGGGATTGCATACACACACTTGGTTGTCTTGTTAGAGGGACACTTGATCTTGTGTGCTTCGTCCAGAATGACATAGTCCCAGACGAACTCTTGCTCATGCCTGCTGGCCAGCTGCTTCCAGTTGTTGATGAGCATCTGGTAACTAGTGATGATGATGCCGTTCTTGCTCTGGACCCTCTCCAGGTTTCTGGCACGCTCTGTCTTGCTGGTGCCGTGGAACTCCTTGACACGCAGGCCGGGTGTCCAGCGGGCAAACTCTGCCAGCCAGCTGCTCACCAGCGTGGTGGGCATGATGAGCAGCACGTGCCGCGTCAGCTCGGCATCAAACATGCCCGACAGGAAGGCAATCACCTGGATAGTCTTGCCCAGGCCCATGTCGTCTGCCAGGATGCCACCGGGCCGGCCCTCCCTGTGCAGGCGGTACAGGAAGGCGACGCCTTCCCGCTGGTGCTGGAAGAGCTTCTCGTGCATCTCCCCATAGATCAGCAAGCCGCTGCCGCACACATTCACGAAGCCTTCATCCTCCTCTGGCTCCTCCTCACCGCGCTGCACCATCTCGGCCAGCACCTCTTCCACACGCTGGATGCGTCCCTGCAGCTTCCCGCTGGGGCGGATGGCGGCCGCCAGCCGGAACAGCCGCAGTGCTTCCACCAGCTGCCCATCGCCCGCCGCCGCCTTCGCGCCGGTCACCAACCTGCCCGTGACAGACACAGCGTGAGCACCGGCCCCGGCCCGCTGCCTGCGCCAACCCCGCCCACGGGCTCACCGACCCGCCCCGCAGCTCACCCCTGGTACCGCTACTCCCCGTTCCTGCCTCTCGCCCCCGGTACCGCTGTTCCCCTGGCACCACTTTTACTGGCCCCGCCGCTTACCGCCAGTACCGCTGTTATGCCCGGTACCACCGCTGTTCCTGGGGCCGCCCCAGCCCCAGCCCCAGCCCCAGCCCCAGCCCCAGCCCCAGCCCCAGCCCCAGCCCCAGCCCCAGCCCCAGCCCCAGCCCCAGCCCCAGCCCCAGCCCCAGGCACTCACCCCCGGTACCGCTCTTCCTCCTCCGCAGCTAGGCCCAGGGCCGCCATCGCGCGCCCTCCCTGACTGCCGCCCCCCGCTTCAAACGCCGGCCGCTCCCGTGCTGCACTGCGCGCCCCGCGTGACATGCAAATGAGTGGCCAGCAAAGCCAATCAGCGCCCTTGGGGCGGGGATTCGGGGCGGAGGGACAGCGCGGGGCGGGGCCGTGGTGCTCCCGGGGTCCTTTTACCGGCGCCGCGCCCGCCCCGCCCCCGGCCCGGCCCCGGCCCGCCCCGACTCGCCCCGACCCGACTCGACTCTATCCCGACTCTATCCGACTCTATCCGACTCTATCCGACTCTATCCGACTCTATCCGACTCTATCCGACTCTATCCGACTCTATCCGACTCTACCCGACTCTATCCCGCAGCCAGGCCCGCGGTGCCCCACGACGATCCCCCGGGTGCTGCCCCGCCCCCTCCGCAGGGAGGGCAGTCCGCCCACCGGCAGGGGGCAGCGCGGTGCGCAGAGGGCGCCTCTGTGCGCGCCGCCAGTGACCAGCGCGGAGTCGCCGGGAGACCGAGGTGCCGCCATGGAACCGGGCGCTGCGGCCTGGGGCCTGCCCGTGTCTGGCGGGGGCTGCCCGGGGTCGGGCAGCTGCACGAGGGGCCGGGGGGCGGCGGCGCAGAGCGTGGCCGGCGCGGAGCTGCGTGCCGGGCGGCGGGAGCCCTGCGTGCTCAGCCTGGCTCGGCGGGGCGGCCGCTGCGGGTGAGTGCGGGCCGCGGCGGGGCGCGGGCGTTTGGCCCGGCGGAGTGGTGTGGGGCCCGGTCGCGCCGGGAGCCGAGCCGGTGACGGGGATCTTGGGCCGTGTGGGCGCCTCGTCCCTGAACGGCTGGTTTCTCGTGCACTGCCGCCGAGCCCGCTCCGGGCTGGGGGCGGGGACCCTCGAGGGGGACCGGGAAACCGCGGAGCTGCTGCGGCAGAAAGCGCGGTGGGCACCTGCCCCCAGTGCGGCCGCATCTGCTCCGAGTGCCCTGTCCAGCCCTTCCCTCCTCCCCGGCGCCCTCAGCCCGTGCGGCTCCGGGGCTGTTTGCGCCTTTCCGTGCTCCTCTCCCGTCGTACAGCGATAGAGATCTGTAAGTGCGGTTCTCGTGCCTCTGTCTCCCTATGCAAGCAGGGAGCTGCTCCTCTGCTCTTACAAGCCTTTCTCCTGTCTCCAGGATACTTATCCAGTCCCAGGAGAAGGACAGCTCCGTTCCGGATTACATCCCCATCAACAGCCGATTCAGATGTGTGCAAGGTACTGCTGCCGGAGCCAGCACTGCTGCGTCTCAGCAGTTCTTGCCATGCCCATGAGCGCCCGCATGGGTCTGATGCTGTTTCCCCCTGAAACTAAAACTTACCACTCGTGGAAGGCTGTTTCCTCCTTGCTGCATGGATCAACTTCCCCTGCTGGCACTCAGCTTGGGGGGGCATGGTGGCTCATCAGTGGGGGGCTTGATGTCGGGCAGAGCCTGAAATCTGGTGCCTGCTGGTGTCTGTCTTCATGCTCCATGAGAGCAAGAGTTGGGAGCTTTACTCTGGTTCCTGCATGTTTAGATCAAAACTGTTGGGGCTGTTGAACTGTCAGCTCCCAGCCACGGAATGGAACAGAGCTCCAGGCTTTGCCCTGAGAGAACTGCAACAGCAGCGCCCATCCCTGGTGCACTTACTTGTTCAGGAATGAAAGCATGTTTCCCTGGGCTGGCTGAAAGCCTCTGTGCAACCCAGCATGATTCTGCCCATCACTTCAGTGTGTAGGGCAAGCTCTCAAGTTCATTGTCAGGTTGGTCTTTTCCCAGAGTGATGCTGAACAAACCGTCTGGATGTGGGAACCTCCCCTTTGACTCTGGGATGGTGGGAAGTGAATGTCCAAACAGGACTGTGCCTTCTGCCAGAGCACATGAGTAGTACAGATGCAGATTGCAGCTCTTCTGTGGCTGGCAGCAGGCAGTGTGCTTTCTGAGTGCTCAGTTACTGCAGCATCCAGTGTGACCTCTCCTGATCCCACGTTTCTCTTTCCAGAGGCAGAAGAAACGCTGCTGATTGATATAGCTGCAAACAGTAAGTTTCGTAACTGCAGCTGTGCGGCTGAAGCTGCTTTTGGGGATCAGGCTGGGCACTGCCACGCACTCTTTTTACCTTCAGAACCTCCCTCCGTGCTTTGTGCTCGTCTTTGGCAAAGCAGGGATTGTGTTTCCCCCGATGATGTGCTCTGGCTCTTTGACAGTCGTGTCTCATGACAGACATGGTTTTAAATGCCCAGATTAAAGTGTTGGCAGTTGGTCAAACTTCTTCAGTCCTTTCTCCAGGCCCTGCACTGCTCTCAGAACCACCCTCAGCTCCCTTCATCCCTTTGGCCTTTTCTTGAGCCAGGGTTACTGTGGCCTGTGTCAGTGCTGACAGCGCTCTGGGTGGTCACCAGTGCTGCTTTCCCCTTCAGGAAGTTTCTTTCACACTTTCAGAGCTCACAGTAGGGAGGAGTATTCCTAAAGCCAGGAGAACATAACTGGTGGTAGCCCAAGCTGGGGAGGGGGATCTCAGCAGCACAGGGCTGTTAGCTTAAATGCAGATTTCCACTGGAAGCAGTAGCTGGAAGCTGGCTTTCATGGCTGAGCTCAGAGGACACACAGAAATCTGCCACTTCTGGGGTGCAGCGTCTGCAGCCAGCAGGGCTGAGGGTGTCTGTCTGTGCCTGCAGCAGGCTGCAAGGTCCGGATCCAGGGAGAGGAGGCAGCGGAGCGGCTCTTTGAAATCCCGGATGAGGAGCATTGCTTGGGGTTCCTGGCGGAGGTGCAGAGCATCCAGGAAGGTAACAGAGCTGCAGGGTGTTTGGGGTGGCCCCACTGCCACCACTTTCTCACTGGCCTGATAATTATTTTTTCCAGCCCACCTGAAAGCTTCTCCTATGGAGCCAAAGGACTCGTCCAGCTGGCATCAGGTGGAGAAGAACCTCCCGGGCCTCTCCCAGGCCTCTTCTTCAGGTACTGAACCCACTGTCACCTTTCATAGAACCACAGATGGGGTTGGGTTTAGAGGGACCTTAATGCTTCTCCAGTTCCAAGCCCTGCCACGGGCAGGGACACCTTCCACTAGAGCAGCTTGCTCCAAGCCCTGTCCAGCCCAGTCTTGAACACTGCCATGTATGGGGCAGCCTCAGCTTCTGTGGGCACCCTGTGTCAGCACCTCAGCACCTTCACAGGGAAGAGCTTCTGCCTCAGATCTCATCCCAGTCTCCCCTCTGGCAGGTTAAAGCCATTCCGCTGCTATTATCACTTGTGGTTTTGCTTTCTGTGATCCTTCCTTCTTGATCTGAGCAGTTTTAAGTGGTTTCTCAGGCATTGTGCCGATTTTTTCATGACAGGGGCTCTGGGGTTTGAGGATGACTTCACTGCTCTGAGCCTAGAAGAGAAAAGAAATGGGCAAAACCACCAAGCAGGCTCTCGCCGGGAGCCCCCCCCACCTCCCGTGCCTCAGAACAGGCAGTAAGTAGCATGGGGAATCTGTTCCCTTTTTCCCTTCTCTTCCTAGACAGCAGAACTGGTTCTGAAGCTGCTCTTGCTTCCTTCCTAGATTCCACCGAGAGAGAGACGGTTCATCCAGAGACCAGCCAAAAGTGACCAACACGATGCGCAAGATGTTCCTGCCCAGCAGCCAGTCAGGGCAGCGGGAGGGGCTCATCAAGCACCTGCTTGCCAAGAGGGAGAAGGCGTACGTCAACCTTCACAACTTCAGGTGAGAGCTGTCCTGAGCAGCGTGTGTAGGGCCATGGCACTGTCGGCTCTGCTGGGAGCTTGCATCCAGCCCCAGTTTGAAACCTGACGGCTGCTGGTGTGTGGCAGCTCTGGTGGCCAAGCAGGGGCAGTGAACACTGAGGGGCAGCAAGTGCCCATGCTGCAGCTTCACATTGTGTGTCTGATCTCTCGACACCTCGCTTGGGTGAAGGGAGGATAAAGGTGCTGTCCCACCACACTGTCTTAGTAATGCCCCACATGGCATGGTGTTAAAAAAAAACAGATGTTCACTGGCCCTGGTGAGACATCTTTAGCTCTGTAGCATGATGAGTGTCACTGAAAACCAAGCCTGGAAGAGCTTCAGTTGCCCCTTAGCTGGGACAGCTCACAGATGTCTGGGAGCCCTGAGCCCATGTGGGAGGCTCCTATGCTCTGAGCCCATTGGAGAGACTGTGCTAACACTGGCACTGTCTCTGTGTTTTCTAATGGTTCAGCTGCTTTTGTGTTGCAGATTTTTTGTGGGAACGTGGAATGTGAATGGGCAGTCTCCAGACAGTGGCCTGGAGCCCTGGCTGGTGTGTGACATGGAGCCTCCAGATGTCTACTGCATTGGGTGAGCAGCAGCCACCTTGTATGTACACATAGTGCTGGGCTTCTTGCTGCTCTTGCTTGGATCCTGCTGGGCTGTATTTGGTTTAAGTTCTTCAGATGTTCCACAAAGCTGAGCTATGTCTCAGAGGAGCTGTCCGAGGGGAAAGAGCCAGTTGGATGAGGCAGAGTACTGGGTTAAAGGCTGGCATGACATAATAAAACATCCCTTAGGGCATGCAAGGGGCTCTCTGGTTGTCCTCTAGCCAGAGTAATGCTGGTCAGAGACAGTTGCTGGCATGTGTTGTGTGGGGTCTCAGAGGCACTGTGGGGAAATTCTGCTTCACTTAGCGAGCGGGAGTAAGGAGCTTTTCTTCCAAACTGGAGGCTTCACATTGGCCTCCCTGAGGGTGGGCTGTCAGTGAGCTGGGACGTGCTCAGTGAACCTGGTTTTGTAGATTCCAGGAGCTGGACCTCAGCACGGAGGCTTTTTTCTACTTTGATTCTGTGAAGGAGCAGGAGTGGCTGGCTGCCGTGGAGAAAGCCCTGCACCCCCACGCCAAGTACAAGAAAGTGAGTTCTGTTCAGTGCTGGGATATGGTTGAGGAGTTGGCACTGTGGGAAGAGAAACAGGCTGCCACTTCTCAAGCACAGTGACTGGAGGAACCAAGGATATGTGCTGGGCATGTGTGTGCTGTTAACATGCCAACTGAAATCTAGAGAGTCTGTTGCTGCCCCAGAGATGTAAGGGGATATTGTGCTTTGATGTAGAAGTTTATAAAGATGGGGATCAAAACAAGGTGATGAATACAAGCTGGGTGTCAGGGAGGTGGTGTGCTCAACAGAATCCCAGCAGGCTCTCTCTCTGTGTTACCCTCTCACCCTTGTACTGTGGAAGCAAGGCATGTCTTGAGCTGGTAAATTCAGTTAATAAATTATCCCATTCCTTCAAGGAAAAACCATGAGGTGAAGTCTTCCGAGGCTTCTGCCTTGGGTCAGAACTCAGCCATGGCAGCCGGATGTTGTTCTGGCTGGTTCAGAGCAAGCCTCTGGTTTTGTCTCTGCTGTAGCAAACATTTCTACCAGCCAGGAGTACGTGACTCAGTTTCCTACCTTCCTTCTCAGCCCCTTGTGCCTCTCCCACCCCTGTCCTGCTCGCTTTGGGTTTTGCTCAGTCACTCTTCCAGCTGACCTTGGATTTCAGCTTTACCCCTCACTACATAGGCTTAATCCTAACACATCTGAATGGTTTTATGCCTCTAAAGGGAGTGTGTGGACTGTGCTCGAGGAGATTAGGCCTTGTCTCTGGCTTTCCAAGTTATGGCCCTACTGTTTTGAAGGTACCAGGAGGTCATGGGCTGGAGAGTGCATTGGCATGGGTGAAAGATCAGCGCAGACCTGAGCTCCCTGCTGGGACTGTACACATCAGGGCTGTGTTAATGCCTCTGGGCTGAGCTCTGTAGTAGAGAACTTCATAGCTCCAGAAAAAGGCTCTTTGCATTAGAGAACAAGGGCTTTCTGACAAGCAGGGGGGTGGCTGCCTTTTAATACCCCACGTGTTAGGCATGTTTGCCTCAGGAAACAAAAACTTCTGTCCGTTCCTCACTGCCTTCACGGTAGTTCTGAGTAAGCAAAGGTGAGCACTGACTTCCAACTGGACCCGTGGCCAGCAGCTCTCTGCTAAAGCACTCGAGGTATCTTCCTCTGGTAGTTTTGATGACTTGAGCAGAGCCAAAGGCCGAGACCTCACCAGCAGCTCTGCTACGTATTTGTTGTGTTCCTCTTACCTCATGAGTTTTGTTTGTAGGAAGGCACCAGAGTGGGGACTACAGTGAGCTCAGCACAGCTGATGGCTACTGGGTGTGACAGATTGTCCTCCAGAACCTTGCTTTGAGACAGGAGTCCCTGTGGGCGGTGTTGCAAGCAGGGATTGCCTACAAAACATGACAAGGAAGAGAGAGAGGAGAGCCAGAGAATTAGAACAGCAGGCAGATCAGAGGTGCTGCATCTCACTGCCAGGCTGAGAACCGAGGATCCAGGATCCCTTTTACTGTTGCAGGTGCAAATGGTCCGTCTGGTTGGGATGATGCTGCTCATATTTGCAAAGAAGGATCAGCTGAGCAATATCAGAGAGATCGTGACAGAATCTGTGGGCACGGGAGTCATGGGGAAGATGGTGAGTCACCAGCACCGGTCCCTGCAAGAGCAATACGACCGGGTCTGTCCCAGTCTGAGCCATCACGTTTCCTCCCTGGGGCCTCACCTTCTCTCACTGCTGCTCCCTGCTCTCCCCAGGGCAACAAAGGCGGCGTGGCCGTGAGGTTTGTGTTCCACAACACCACCTTCTGCATCGTTAACTCCCACCTCGCCGCGCATGTGGAGGACTTCGAGCGGCGGAATCAGGACTACAAGGACATCTGTGCTCGGATGAGTTTTGTAACCCCAGATGAGAGCCTACCTCACGTCAACATCATGAAACATGAGTGAGTTTGCTTGGCTGGTTTCCCTTTTGGTGTTGAATAATCCAAATCAGACTCAGCCATGTGTGTGACAAAGCACGTAAGTGAAGTTTTCATAAACCTGATACAAATGATTAATACTTCTGTAGTTAACATTTAAACCATTTAAAAACTGGAAATAAAATGTAGACTGAATTATAGTACAGAAAAAAACCTCCAAATACTAGATTATCCTTGATTTCTGCTAATGGAAATGTTACGGTTTGGCTATAAACAGGAAGAGCTTTGATGCCAGAGAGGAGTTTAGATTTTAATCTTTAAATGAAACCTTTATGGGGTAAAGAGTGAGTAGCACAAGTGTTTCTTTAGCTGCTGGTAATGGGAAGGATGAAGGCCTGTTGGAAGGCCCAGAGAGTAGCAGGGTCGGAGCAGGCACTGATGAGGTGCAACTGAGACAAACTTGTCAGGAGCCCAGCTGTGCTTTGGCAGCTCTACCTCAGCCCGTCTGTGCTAGGTGGGGATGTAGCACTGGCCTGGGCTGCCAGAGAGGAAGGCAGTGGAAAAGGAAGTGGCAAAGCTGTGGTGTCAGAGCAGCCTGACAGCCCAGCCCTGCGTAACAAGCCCTGTCACTGCCCTCTTCTGTGCACCAGCAGAGCCTCACTACCCAGTGGAGTTTGTGTAGCCTGAGAGGTTATGAAGGTGCTGAGATGCAGCTTTCCCTTCATTACAGTTGGTGGTGTTGTGGGGCTGTTCTCAAACTGAGGCAAGCTCCAGTATCTCCCAGTAAACCAAGTCTTCCGTCCTATGAGGGATTCCAAAAGGGATGGGGTTAGTGCTGTAGTGCCAGAAATCCTACTGCCAGACTCAGTCTTTCATGTCTCCTTTCGTCTTCCATGTGTCTCAACCACCAGCCACCCACCATCCATTCTCCTACACCCTTGTCCCTTGCATGGCCTGTGGTAGTAACCACTGGCTCTTCTGCATGTTTGCCTCTGGTTTCAGTGTTGTCATCTGGCTGGGAGACTTGAACTACAGGCTTTGTCTCCCTGATGCCAGTGAAGTGAAAAGTCTCATCAGTAAGAACGAGCTTCAGAAGCTGCTGACATACGACCAGGTCAGTGAACTCTGCTTGCGTTTGCTGTGTACTCTTGAGGGCATCTTGGTTTGGCATATGCCTGGCTTTGGGAGGAGCTGACAAATAAGCGTCTGTACATGTAGACACAGACCCTCGACATAGCTGGGGGTGTCCTGGTGACATCAAGCCTCCAAACAAAAGCGGATTGTACGTGATATTGGCATTCACTGGGTGACTCTGGCAATTCCTGTATCTTTGCATCTCAGTGGCAGAGTTCTTCCTCTCTTACGTACAAACTGCAGACTAGAACATCAGAACTGGTAACAGCAACTACAGCTGCTGCAGTCAGTGTTCTGGAGGAGGTGTTGATTTGGAGACCAGCACCTGTAGCCAGGGCAAGGCTCTGTCTCAGCCAGGCTGACCCCAGTTCTGTGCTGAAGCTTTCCCCACTCAGCGTTTCCTTGCAGTTCACTGAAAACTGGGAGAGCACAAGATGTGCCTATAAGATGAAGGGCTGTATCTGTGAAACGTGAACAGACATGGTGTGCCACCATCTCTGACACACAACAGTGAAGCTGGTTGACTCTGCTCTGCAGCTCATTTCTGTGCTGTAGGGCTTCATGCAGCAAATAACTGTAGCTTGGATTTTTTATGAGGAAAACAACTCGGGAACAGGAAGGTGGTTCCAGGTTGTCAGCCCAGCACCCTGCGGGAGGCTGCTGCTAAAGTGATTGGCACTGAAGTATTTCTGATGGTGATGCCTAAGCCTGAAAACTAATGAAACCCGTGTTTAGCATGCGTGGAGCAACTAATATTTCCATTTAGTGTTGTTTTCTATGTGCATGTTCTGGTGGGCAGCACTGTGCCAGAGGGTGCTCAGTCTGGTTAGGAAACATTCCACTCCTGCTGAGGTTTTACCTCTTTTGAAGGTTTGAGGTCTGAGAGGGTGTCTGGTGAACCCCACAGCCCCAGGTTCCAATTGCTCTGCCTGTAGATCTACTCTCTGACACTGCTCTGTGTGCTGGGGGAGTGTTTGGGTGGGTTTGGTGTGTTTTACAGTGTTCTTTCTCTGCTTCAGCTGAATATTCAGCGCATGCAGAAGAAGGCGTTTGCCGATTTCACCGAGGGAGAGATTAAATTCATCCCCACATACAAATACGACTCTAAAACAGACCGCTGGGACTCCAGGTAAATCACCTGCCTATGCACACCTTTACCTGTTGCACAAAAAGCAGTTCCTCATAAAACTTGACTTCCTCCTTCCTGGAGCTGGCAATCCCCCCCAGTGCTGTGCTGGTGGCTGGAGTACAGACAGCTTTACACTCCTTTGTTGTCCCTGTTGTCTGGAATAGGCAGAGCCTGTGTCTGTTGACCAAGGACTTGCCTTAAACATCAGCTGTTGATGATTCCAAGAGATGAAGCAGGTGAAGCGTGCACTTATAGGTGGCCCTGCACTGGTGGGGGTTCTGCTACCAGAGACAGACAAAGGATGAGAAAGGAATTAGAGAGGTTAAGGAAGCACTCTCTGGGTCGTCCTGTCACCTGACCTGCACAGTGATTCCTGCTTGGTGCCTCCCATTGGTGTTCCCGTATCTGCTGCAGAAGTTTGCTCCAAATAGAGAAACTCCCAAGGAGGACTTACAAACCATTCAGAGACTGGGTTTTGCTCTGCCTGTGTTTATGAATCAGCACAGTAGTTAATCTGCAGGACAATAGCCCAGGTTTCAGAGTTCATAACAGAGTAGTAATAACTGAGTAGACTTTCCATAGTGGAAACAATAGTGATGGATCAGACTATAGTGGGCAGAAAGATATGGCAGCAAAAGAAACCAGGGCAGCCCAGGTCATAGTACACATGGCTTCAGGCTGTGGAAGCAGCCGTGGCCGAGATTGGTTTATTTCCTGGTGCTGGAAAGGACGGGGAATTTTGGCCTACTGCACAGGGAAAGGGGAAGAGAGCAGAAGAAATAGCATGGTATTCGAGTGGAGGGAAGCAATGGGAGTTCAGCCCCTCTGCAGTCAGTCCATGGGGGTGGCTGAGCTGCTGGGCTGGGAGGAGGAGCAGCTCAAGTGCTTCATTGGGGTTGCTGGATGTCCCTGGCAGCCTGTTTCCCTTCACAGTGGGAAGTGTCGTGTGCCGGCATGGTGCGACCGGATCCTGTGGAGAGGGGGGAGCATCACCCAGCTCCGCTATGGCAGCCACATGGACCTGAAGACCAGCGACCACAAGCCCGTCAGCGCGCTCTTCCGTATCGGGGTAACGACTCTCATGTGCTGGGGTGGGGCTATGAAGTCAAGGCACCTCTGCTAGTGCTGTTGCAGTGGGACAGAGTAGTAAAGCCAAAGTGTGTCCATAGAGGAAGTGTGCTGCAGAGTGCGAGCTCCTGCAGCAAACAGCACAGTGCTGTGGCCAGGACAGCGTCACCCCATGGTAATGGGGGAGATCTGGGGTTTACCCCAGCTGGTGTGGTCGTGCAGTGACTGCAAGTGACTGCTTCAGTTATGCTGCTTGGCTTCCAGGGTATAACCCAGGATAGCTACTGCTGCTACAATGTGTGAGCTGCTGGTTTCTTTCCTCCACAAAGAGACACAGCAGAAACCTGCAATAGGTGTCCCTGCTGTTGCAGTGTTGCCTCTGGTGTGTTAAGAGAAGTGTGTCACTGGTTCACATCTGGATTTCTGTAGTGCCGAACAGCTGGCAGCAGGTTTGGGTTCCCCAGCTTGCCAAGTGGAGATGGTCCATGTCCATATTTGCTACCTACTACTCCTTAGGTAGCTCAGGCCTCCTTAAAGGAGAGCTTTTCTCCTCTTCCTCTAGAGAATCGTGTAATGCTGTGGGGTGCCAGTGCTGACCCCAGAGACCACCCCCAGGAATCTCCCAGCAGTGTGGTCAGTGGCCAGGAAGACCCAGGTAACATCAGCGGGGGTAAAACACAAGTGAAGATGCACACACAGTTTGGAGGTGCTTCCACATACGTGGATTCTCTCAGGTTCCCAGCTGCACATAGCAAGTGCTTAGAGAAATAGTTCACTCTTGCAGCTGGCTCGTGATCAAAGGGTCCCAGTGAGGGGGGTCAGGAAGATTGCTGAGTGTTTCCTGGTCTCCCACAGGTAAAGGTTGTGGATGAGCAGAAGTATCGCAAGTTGTTTGAAGACATTGTTCGCTTAATGGACAGAATGGAGAATGACTTCCTGCCTTCGCTGGAGCTAAGCAGGAGAGAAGTGAGGATGAAACCTGCCACTTCCCACCTTGTCACTTCCCTACACAGCAGCCATGGAAGTGCTAGAGCTACTTTTAAAGACTTTGATTCAGTAAACTGGATTATGGGAAATTGGACTTTATCCATTATCTTATGCTCAGGAGTTGGATTGAAGGGACATCTTGGCTTGGCTTCTTGGCAGGTCTTCTGCTGGGAGTTCTGCGTTGTATGGGCACTTCCCGGCACGGGCTGCTGCTACAGAGTCTGGGGGCCTACCCGTGTGTACCCTCCTGGCGGCTAACCTGGTTTGTGTTTTCTCTTTGCTCTGCAGTTTGAGTTTCAGAACGTGAAGTTCCGTCAGCTGCAGAAGCAGAAGTTCCAGATCACCAACAACGGGCAGGTCACCTGCCACTTCTCCTTCATCCCCAAGCTGAACGACAACCACTACTGTAAGCCATGGCTGCGAGCCGAGCCCTGTGAGGGTTACCTGGAGCCAGGTGAGGTTCACCGTGGTTTCTCCATGTGTGCTGGGGTAGATTCCCACCCCACCTCCATCCCGTCCATCCTGTCATTCCCATGTCTCACCTTTCTTGCCGTTGTTCCTGTCTGTCTTCTCGGTTCTGTGGCCTTGGTCCCTGCTGCTGTATATTTGTCCTTGTCGCCCCTTTTAGAGAGTGACTGTGGGTTCTTGAGAGCTCCTGTCTGTTGCAGATGAGAGCACAGACATCTCCCTGGACGTATACGTCAGCAAGGACTCGGTTACCCTCCTGAACTCTGGTGAGGATAAAATTGAGGATATTCTTGTCCTTCACTTGGACCGGGGGAAGGATTATTTCCTCACCATCAGTGGGACCTACCTGCCCAGCTGCTTCGGCACCTCCCTGGAGGCCTTATGCCGAATGAGACGACCGATCCGAGAAGTTCCAGTCACCAAACTCATTGACCTGGTGAGTAGCTGTGTTCTGGAGCAGCTCCCTAACAGGGGGAGAGCAATTTCCCCTCTCTTTACTCCTAAAAGCAGGAGTGATGCCCTCAGTGTGGGTCAGCTGCACTGGCTTCTAGCTGATGCACTTCTTCTGGAGCTCTTTTCTGTGCTCCTTTCCTGTGCTCCTTCGTTCTTTCCCTCCACCACAACCAATGGCTTTGAACAGCAAGTGCTTTATCCCAGTTTCTGAGTAGGTTCTGAATGTTGTTTGGAGGAACAAAAAGGGATCCCAGCACCTTGTGCTTTGTGTTACTGTCATGCTGGTGCTGGCAGGCTCAGCCGGGTGGCACTGCTGTGTCACAAGAGGTATGCCTGAAATGCTCTCCTCCGAGGTGCCCAGGCTGCTTCTGCAGTGACAGGGCTCCAGGATCCTTTTCCTTCTGCTGGTTGTGGCACTCGCACTGCTCAAGGGGAGGAACAAGCAAAAGCAGGACCGAGAGAAGGACTCTGATGCTGGTCAGTGTGCTGATGGGTGCAGCTCTCTGGCCAGTTCCTCTCCTGCTGACCACTGTGACCCAGCTCTCCAGCAGCTACACCAGGCTCTTGCTGCCTTCTGCCATTCCCACCTCTGTCTGTGTCTGCTTTTCTCCCAGGCCCAGCATACAGAAAGGCTGGTTTTATATCAGAGTTCTGGTTTTGCCATCACAAGATCAGGTGAAGCAGAGCCCAGGAGGTGAGATGCAGGATTTGCCTCCTCCATTCACACAGCTCACCCTGGCTGCAGGCTCCTCGTGCTCTTCAAGGTTCAGTTGAAAATCAGTCTTGTTCTAGAAGTGTGTTAACTTGTTCTGGAGCATCTCATCGGTCCTGGGGGCTGTTCCACCTGCCTTTTCCTGCTCAGTGTTTAGCACTCATTTCTCGCTTGATGGACAGGAACTCAGGCCCACTGTTATTTTCTGCCCTCACAGACACACATCATTGCTTTTCTAAGGGTACTTCTGAGGCTTATTCTGCTTCCTTTACCACCTTCTGTTATTCAGTGAAATGTACGGAAGTACAGGAAGCAAACCAGATACAGGAAGTAAACCAGTCAGAGAAAAGCACCCTGTCGCCTTATCTGCAGCATAGTCTCTGCTTTTGGGGAGGTCAGTGTGACTTCAAGACCTCGATCATAATAAGCTAAGCAAACTCAAGGAGCATAATGTAACTGCTCAAAGCAAAATGCAATCACTTGGATTATAAAGCTGCTGTCATGTTAGAGCTATTTTTGGGTCTTTTGGTTTTGATCATATCTGTGAGGTGGGAAATGCCATGGGGCAGGAGGAGCCCTTCCCACAGGCAGAGCAGTGCCTGTACTAACCCAAATGTGTTCTGGTCCCTCTGTGTGATTTCACTGAGGGTTAGGCTGTGCATGAGGCAGGCAGTGCGTGTGTGTGTGTGTGTGTGTCGAGAACCATTTCCCCTCCTGCATGTAGGTAGTGTTAGGGCTCGTCTTTCACTGCAGTGGGTGCATTTCTCAGCCTGGCTGGGCTCTGTGTTGTCTTCAGCAGAGGGAGACCTGGAGAGCACAGACAAGGTCTGAGAGGTGATTCGATGCAGGGTAGCAGATGGCAGGTGTAAGCTTGCTTGGAAATGGCTCCTGGTTCTCTTGGGAGAAACTGCTGATGCTTGAGCATCCCACCTTTGGGTTTTGTCTTGGGATCCTACTGTGGGCTTTACAAAGCCTCTTGAAGAATCTTTGCCAGGAGCAGGTTAGTCTCACGGAGCCAGTGGTGCTGAACAACACAGAAGAGAGGTGATGAGCAGGGCAATTAGTCAGGTAGGTGGGAGTGGGACTGCTGAGGTGACTCAGAAGGGAGTGGGCTCTTGTGCAGCCTGGCTGGCTTATTCCCAAATTTGGGACTGAGAGAGGAGCCTGCATCAGCTTGTGTTCTGAGCAGGCTGTGCCCTGCAAGAGACTGGACTGTTGTGGCTGAGCAAGCCTCCAAAGACAGCAGCACTGCAGGACTCACAGGGCAGTATCAGGATGTCTGTGACTGTGTCAAGCACAGCCTTTGAATGTTTTCTGGTTACTCCCACCCTGAAATGTTGATCCATCAAGCTCAGCTTGGGCAACCTGCTTCAGTTTCCTCCTGTGGGCTCCACCCAACAGCTTCTCCCCTCTACCTCACCAGCCTGCAGCATGCTGGTTGGATGCTGGATGTCAGGGTTGCCCAAGGGATGGGACATGCAGCCTGGAGGGGCTTTGCCGAGCTCCTTGCGGCATGCTAATGCTATTAGATAGAGGCAGCATGGGGTTTTGAGCACAAACACTCATTTCCCTGATGATGCACAAAGCTGCTTAGGGGACCTGACAGCTCCACAGCTGCCACAAGCTCAGGAGCACAGATTTAGCCTGGTGAATGTTTTATATCTGGCCTGGTCGGGGGAAGGTGGCTGAAATGATGTGGGAATGTTGATTTCTGCCTGGGAAGATTTGGGAAGGGAAGTTCATCCTGACGGACACCTCTCAGCCTGGGCTGTTCTGTATGTGAGCAGCGCTGCTGCCAGGCCCCTGTGAGGAGTTGGTACAAATCCTGGCGAGGTTGGGCATCATGTGAGCAGGATTTGTGCTCGTTGGCAGGCAGATCTCTCGCAGCAGATTTAACTTCGGCCGTGTCAGCAGAACGCATGAGGACCCAGCTTTCACTGGCTCTTGTGATGCAAACTGGCTTTCTGTTTACTTGGAGAATGGCTCTCCCCCCTAACCATACCTTTTCCTCTTCTCTCCTTCCCACCGCTTTCAGGGAGAAGACAGCTTCTTAGAAAAGGTAACACAACCCCTTGCTGGGGTCCTGCTTCTCATGACCTGTCTATAGCGAACGGGTGTCCCCATTGCCTGCTGCAGAGGGAAGGGAAGGGGGTGCAGAGGCAGTGTTTGTCCCAGCAAAACCCTGTAGCAACGCTGTGGGCTGCATGAGAACAGAATCCCGCACATCCCTTCCACTGCCAGAGCACAGAGTGACCCTGCAGCCAGGATGGGGTGAGCCCAGTTTGCTGATCAGAGCTCAGCAGCTGTCTCTGGTGACAGACACAGAGCTCCCCTTACTCCAGCAGTGAAACCGTTGGCACCCTGTAGCATACCTGAGTTGGCTCTAACCGTGCCCATCAGGTGGGGTCACCTCAGCACCCTGTGCAAAGGGAGCTGAATTAACACTGACATATTCTGCTCCTTCCATCTTGCCGCATCCTTGTGGAGGCTGAGGAAGCGCCTTGCACAGGGACAGGCATTCGCCTGCTGCCTCACAGCCCAAGTGAAGGATCCCTGCTTTGCTTTGCACTTGTGCTCTGCACTGGAGGCTGAGCGGGTCAGATCTGCCACTGAAGAGCAAGTGGGAGGTGCTGGGATGTGTGACAGGTACATTCCTGCTCCCTTGCACCTGTGGTGGCTCGTTGGAGCTGGCTCTGTACTGGTGTCCTGGGCTGGGTGGCTTTTCCATCCCCACGCTGCAGTGGCAGGATAAAACAGGAGAGATAATGGATGAACCCTCTCGAGAGGGGATTGAACGCAGGTGTTGAACCAGATGAAGCTCCCAGGCTGGTCCTGGCAGAGGGGAGGGAGGAGGCTGGTTCCTGCCTCCGGGAAGAGCCTTTGCAAAAGGCCTCCTCCTTCTCCTCCGCCTCCCCCCTTTCTCGTTTTCTTTCGCCTTCCGTTGCCCGCACACGGCAGGAGAGGGCGCTCGGTGCCCGGCCAAGGCACCCGGGAAGCCGAAGGCTCCTGCTCTTCCTCCACATCCTTAAATTGCTCTGAGCCACCTCCTCCTCTGCTCTAAGCCACCGGGGTCTCTGCCTTGGGGGTGTCTGCAGCTATCCGGTGATGCCAAGGGCAGCCTCTGGCACTGTGCCGCAGTGGCGCTGGCCTGGGGTTTGCTGCTGAGGAGCCCTTGACTCGCAGGGAGGCTCCACAGCTCTCACCTCTTCCCCCTTGGAGGAAGGAAAGCTGTAACGCTCTTGCCTGACATGCTGCTTCCCAGCCTCTCCTGTGTGCTTGGGTGAGCGAGGCAGCACGTCCTAGTGTCTTCTGGCAGTGTGCAGGGCAGAGCTGGGCTCTGTGTGTGGCTACCGCCGGTGCCAAAGCACGAGCTGTGAATGACTGTGTGAGGGGCAGCCACCACCGTCCCCAGGTTGGACATGGCGTGGAGCAGCCTGCCCTAGTGGAAGGTGTCCCTGCCCATGGCAGGGGGCTGGGACTCAATGAGCCTTAAGGTCCCTTCCAATATAAACCAGGCTGGGATTCTGTGATTGTCATGGAAGCTGACTGCTGGAAGAAAGCGCTTTGCATTTGGCTTGTGGTGCTTCTCTGGTGGTGTCCTTGGGTTGTGTCCCCTGGGTTCTGCTCCTGTTCCTGCTGGTCTCTTCTGGGGTCTCTGCTGAATGGGCTGCAGGAGAGCAGTGCATGACTCTGGCCTGGGAGCACACAGGAACATGAGGACTGTAAAATGAGAGTAAAATCAAGCAATCACTGGTCCCGATAAAGACTGTGCTGCTGGAGGCTCCTGAGCACTCGAGCTTGAGCTCATCAGCTGCTTTGCATGAGTAAGTGGGAAAACGTGACGGTGGTGTTGGGACAGTCTGTGTTCAGCAGATCCTCTCCTAAGGAAAATGGGGAAAGGAACCTGAGAAAAATGGAACCTGCGGAGCAATGGCTCTGCACTGAAAGAGCAAGTGAGGCTGGATGGGTGCTGGGTCCTGCTGCTTCTGCTCTCCTGGCTTTCTCCACCCAGGCCCTTCTGGGGGGACTGGGGTTTCCCCGACACCTTTGTGTGCTTTTGGCCACAGGAGAAGTCTGTGCCTCAGATGGGCTCTCTGGACAGCGAGGAGGACGGCGGGACGCTGCTGCAGGTGCCGAAGGAGGTGTGGCTGCTGGTGGATCACTTGTTCAAGCACGCCTGCCACCAGGTGAGGACAGCCCCATGTGCTGGGTGCCACATTCATCACTGGGTCCTGCAGCTCAGCCCGGTTTGGGGGGCACAGCCTCCACCCTGCTGTCACTGTGAGGAAGGTGATGTTGTCCGTCCCTGTGCTGCTTTCGGCAGGAGGACCTGTTCCAGACTCCAGGCATGCAGGAAGAGTTGGAGCAGATCATTGACTGCCTGGACACCAGTATCCCTGAGACAATCCGTATCCTTGCTGTGCCTGACTTCTACAGGATCCTGCTGGATCACAGCCCTTGGGAGAGCTCATCTGTGACCTTTAGCTGCAGAGTCCCCTTTGTTCCCTCTGAGATAACCTGTCCTGAAGCTGAACGTGTGCTGGCTAACACAGCCACAGGGCCCGAGCTCTGGAAGCTTCTGCCAGACTGTGTCAAGTGCCGGAGCTGAGAAGCGGCTGATGGAGCAGAGGGTCTATGTGGAGCTGGGGGAGAGGGGGGCAAATGCAACACAAGGGGAGTGGATGAACATTTTCCATGGGTGGGGGCTAGCAGAAGGAGGAGGGTGGCTTTGGTGTGAGGGCGCAGCAAGGAGGCACCGTGCAGGGAGGCCACAGGGGTGGGCAGAGGGGTAGGAGCTGGGAGGGAGGTTCCATGTCCTCACATGCCCCTTGATTCCTGCGAGCTCAGCGGGCAGCAACCACTCGGTAGCTGAGGCGCTCCTCATCTTCCTGGAGGCGCTGCCAGAGCCGGTGATCTGCTACGAGCTGTACCAGCGGTGCCTGGACTGGTCACACAGCAGCCGCCTCTGCCGGCAGGTACGGAGCTGCCACTGGGTCCTGCTTCTGCTGGAGCTGGCCCTGGGGGTGGGTGGGGCATCCCAGGTGCTCTGGCAGAGCTTTCCTGCCCCAGGTCAGCGCTGCAGCATCTCCAGGGTGGCTCCCAAGGACACCCCATGTGTGGCCTGTGTCACCCTGAGCAGCTGGGAAGAGCAGCCCCAGGGAGTGAAGAGCCTCCACCACACTGCTCAGAGCTGCAGTTCCTCTGCTTCCCTGGAGCGGCTCTTAAAGTGGGAAGCGAGGCCCAGCATGTCCTTGGGCTGAGGAAGAAGGTTTGGGGCATATTTTTGGTATTTGCATCAGGAAACCTCTTGTCTCTGTCTTTGTGCTGCTGCTGCACAGCTACAGGGGTGAGAGCTGGGACTTGACAGGAACTGAGTGGGAAGCAGGCCCTGGGCAGTGGGAATTCTTGCCTAGGGCCGCTGTTATCCTGGAGGCAGCATTACTGGGAGCCAAAGCCCCCCGAGTGTCACCTTGTTGCTCACTTTCTAGGCCTGTGGCTCATGCAGTGGCCACACAACGGCCTCAAGGCAGTGAAAGAGGGAAGCTCTGCCTGTGGAGCCTAGGCCCAGCTGTGGTGATGGAGCTCAGGGGCTTCCCTTCTCTTGTCTCTGCAGGTGATTTTTCAGCTGCCCCGTTGCCACCGCAGCGTGTTCCGGTACCTGATGTCGTTCCTCCGTGAGCTGCTCCGATACTCTGAGGACAACAAAGTCAGTGTCACCATGATCGGTAGGTGACACTTCTCTGCTTCACCTGTGCCTGGCAGGATCTCGTGCCCGGCCCCTCACACATGTCCTTGCTTCTGCAGCCGCCCTGTTTTCCAGCCTCCTCCTGCGTCCACCACCCAACCTAGTGACCAAGCAGTCGCAGCAGGACCGCCAGCGCGCCATCAACTTCCTCTACAGCTTCTTGCTGGCTGGGGATGAGGAGTGAGCCCTGCCTGTGCCGCCAGCCCTGCAGTGGGGCCGGGCCTCTGGGGAGGCTCCCAGCTACTCCAAGTGCCGTGTTTACAGTCGGAAGGACATGTTCCCCTCTCATTGCCATCGCTGTACCCTGCGCTGCAGTGGACCTGCACACTCACTTCACTGCCAGCCATGCCAAGAGCCTCCTGCTCTCTCCTTGGCTAGATTTGGTGGTGCCCAAGCACTGTGCCAGTGGCCCACAGCAGTGTCAGTCATGCTTCTCTCTCCTTTTCCCCCCCTCTCTCGAGCTGCTGCGGGGCAGGCACAGACTGTGAGTGCTGCTGGAGGGGCCGTGGCATTCACCCTGCGTGCCGTGGCCCTGGGGTGCCTGTGCTCGTGTGCACTGACTGTACCGCAAGAGCCCTGGGCGGGTGTTGGGTATGTTTCACCCTCTGCCCCACAGCAGACCCAGCCAGCCCTGATGCCCCATCACTGTGCAATGGAAGCTGGACTGCAGCTTTCCAGAAAGATTCTCTGGAGATTCAGCCTCTCCGGATCAGTGGGGTGTTGTTATCCCCTCATCTCCCTCCTGGGGCACAGGGCTCAGCACACAGCTCTCCCTACTGCATTCCAAGCCTTCTGCACTGTAGCCAGGTCTTGCTCTATGTTGTCCCTTCCCTTTGCCGCCCCTTCCTCTGTGACGTGCGATGGGGCAGGCAGAGAGCAGCACCTTGCTCATCAGGGCTGCTGCTGTGTGTGGCGTGGGGCAGGACCCAGCTCCTGTCCTGCCCAGCCCTGCTTGCAGAGCCATGAGGCTACAACAGGCTGGGAGACAGGGGCCCTTAGATGCTGCCCTGCCCTAGAGAGTGCAGGTGGGGGAAGAAGGGGAGATGAGGCAGAAATGCACCCTGAGTCCTAGAGGAGCAGCTCTAATTCTGGGGGTACCCCTGGTGGCTGATGGGTGCAGGAGGGGGCATAAGTCCCATGGAAACACTAAGCAGTGTCCTGCCACCTTGGGCCAGCAGCTGTGGGAGGCCACTGCTAGAGCGGAGCTGCAGTGCCAGTGCTTGGCCCATGGTGTCCTGTGGCTCCATGGTCCCCGCTGAATGAGTTGCTGGGGGCTCCCAACCCCACCTCTTCTCTTTAAACTTTTTAAATGATGTAATTTATTGGGAAACAGTTGGTTCTGAATAAACCTCCATTGTGCCAGGTTCCCAGAGCTGCGCTGGTGTCACCATGTCACTGCATTGCACAGCCTGGGTGGCTGCTGCAGCATCCCCTGATGCAGAGCTGCAGCTCAGCTCCACCATCCTCCCTGCCCAGGGCTCTGTCTATGGGGCTGAAGCCTCCCAAAGGCAGCTGAGCCTGTCCTGGGCCCCTCCCAGCATCGTGCTGGGCAGAGCTGGGGGACCGCAATGGAGGTTATTGTTCTCCTGGTTCCTGCTCTTGCTCCTGGGCAGGCCGCTGTCACTCGGGCACTCTGCAGCCCCGTGCCAGTTCCCCATTTGACAGACGCATCCTGGGGATGGTGGAGTCAGCGCAGAGCGAGCAGGGCCTTGGAGAGCAGGTACAGAGGATGCTGATGGCACAGGGCTGTTGCAGACCACAGCAGTGATGTCCGGGTCCCTTGGGCCCCACTGAAGCAGTGGTGGAGGAATCCGGCACGTCCTGCCACAGGAAACCGTGGCCGGTGTCATCTCCATGTGCTTCCTGAGGGCTCCTTGAGAGCAGGGCTGTGCCTGGGCAGCTGCCGCAGCCCCAGCACCGAGGGACCGGTGCAAGGTGCCGCATTGTTCCAGCGGCCACCACATTCCTGCCACTGCCGGCGGAAATGCCAGAACAAGCACGAAGCTCCTGGGATGGGGCTGGAGCCTCGGCCTGTGCATCCTCTGGGCCCAGCCCAAGGAAGGGGGCTGCCTGGGGGCTGTTGATGGATGCTCCCTGACCTGCATGTAGGTTGGGGGCTCAGCCCACCACAGCCATCAGTGGGACTGAGGCTGCTGCTGGTGTCTGGTGGTGGGACTTGGGGAGCTGGAAGCAGTATGTACTGGCTATGAACGCTCACGATCTGTGATGCTGGCAGAGGGTCCCGTGTCCTCCTGCATGTCACTAGGGTGAGCCCTGTCCAGCCACTGTCCCTAGGCCCTGGAGGGCTCCAGTGGTTGCTCAACCCCTCCCCATCCCCTCTCCCAGGGCTCCCAGCATCCTTGTTTGCCCCCTCAGTGGGCCAAGACCCAGGAAAGCACCAGTCTGCACCATACCAGGACCAGCACTGCCATCCAGAACTGCAGCCCCGCAGCAGCCTGAGCGCAGTCACCATATGGCCATGGCTCCGGAGACCTTGTGAGCCTCTGGCTCCAACCACGCAGAGAGCCCCACTCTAGAGAGCCACATCTGCTGGAGATGCAGCTCCAGCAGCGCCCATCCCTGTCAGCCCCTGCCCGCTCTGCCGATGCGCCAGCACTGCCCAGTGTGCAGGGCTCCAGCATGGTGCGTGGCTGCTGCCGTGGCGCACGGCACACCGGGAGCGTGAGGAGCAGGGCCGCCCCCCACCTGCCCGCGGGCAGCGGGCCAGGCCAGGAAAAGCCAGAGATTCCTTCGGTCTCCCGGCCCAGGAGCCTTTTCCTCCGGCCCTGCCTGGCCGCAGCCCAACCGGGGCGTCCTCTCCTTCCCGGCGGGTGAGGGGGGGCCGGGGTCAGGGCTCAGCTGTGCAGCCCCTAGCGGCAGCCCAGCCCCGCTCTCGGTGCCGGTGCAGCCGTGGGGCACTGGTGCCGCTCCCGGCACGGCCGCAGGGCTCTGCTCGGGGGGAGCCGGGGCCCCCCCCACCGCCTGCACCCAGAACCCCCACCCCACGGGGTGCACGGGCAGGGTGCTGGCTGCCTGCAGCGGGGTCAGATGTGAGTGCTGGGGTGCGAAAAGACCTCCCAGTTCAAGCCAGTAGCGGCACAGCAGGGTGGCCATGGAGGAACGGGACCCCCACCACCAACCAGCCCAGCCAGGGAGGGAGCTGCGGCCACAGCGCTGGTGCGTGGTGATGCGGCCGCCGGCCCCGGGAGTCTGATGGGGCTGGAAGCCGGGGTGCGAGCGCGGGGAGAGGAGCCGGAGCGTGGCGAGAGTGTGCTGGCGCGTGGCCGGGCCCACATCCCCGCGGTCCCAGAGGATGAGCTAATGGAGGCAGCTTGGCCCGGCCCCGCTCCCCCCGGGCTCTGCTCCCACCCCGCAGCTGCAGCCTTTCCGCTCCGCCGTGGCCCCCGTTAACCCGTTATCCCCCTCCCCGCCAGCGCTGCCACCCCTGCCTGTGCCCCCGACCGCCGACGTGGCTCACGGGTGGCCTCCTGCGAGCAATGCGGGGTTTGGGAGCCCCGCACGGGCACTGCCGCCCCCGCGGGTCACGCTGGGACTGTGGGAGCTCCTGTCCCAGGGCTCTCGCCACTGCATGGGGATGGGGAGAGCTGGGGTGAAGACACCGGGGTGAGGACACCAGGGTGAGGACGGCAGGAACAAGGAGATCTGGGAGCAGGATGCCAGGGAAAAGAATGCCGGGGACCCCGGGGACAGCAGAGACCCCAGGGAGGGGGATGCCAGGGAAAGGGACACAGGGACGCAGGGACACCAGGGAAGAATCTGCGGGCCGCAGGCACCTGCAGCTGCTCCGATATGTGGGGAGCTGGGCACGGCTGCCCAGGGCTGCGGGGGGGTGTCTGGGGGGGGGGGGGGGTGGTGTTGCACAGGAGGATCCAGCAGGCGCGGGAGCTCCAGGTGCAGCCAGGTCAAACAGAGCCAGTGAACGCCGTGCCCAGGCCAGGGGTCCTGCAGCGCTGGGGCTGCTACATCCCAGAGAGAGCCCAGCCTCCACCACACAGCCCCGGCCGGTCCCACCGGCCTCATCCTCCTCCAGCCCAAGCCCTAGGGACGTGGTGCTGCACCCATGGGTGGTGGTGGATGCTGATAACCACGGCAACAGCAGTGTCTCAAGCCAGGGCAGGAGCATCCGTGCACCTGTGGCTTCCTGCAGGAATTACCCTACCAAAACCATTATCCTGGCTCAGGAGCTGCTGGGTCCTCAGGAGCGGGCACCATCAGTGAGGGATCGTATGGGCCATGTCCTCTCTTCTGGACACGAAGGTCCCAGCACAGCTGTCACCAGCAGAAACTCTCCTAAACCTCTCCTACCACCCCACTCCCCACTTCTAGAGCTGTTTCTGCACAGCTTATGCTCAGTGTGGAGGGAATTCAGGTGAGCAGAAAAATAAACGCCAGGAGGGGATAAAGGTGGGGAGTTCAGGGCAGCATTTGCAGCCAGGGTCTTTGCTCCACAGCCAGAGCACTCCCCTGCCCCTCACCCCATGCTGCCCCGGCTGGGACCAGCATCCCTGTGCCCTTCCACCACCCCTTTCTATATAACCAGCCCCTCTGAAGAGGGGGCTCTGAACCCCTGTTTCTTTCCCCTCCTCCCCAGTCTTTGCTGGGCATCTTCTCCACCAGCCCTGGGCTGGGGAAGGGGCTGCCCAGGGGGAAACAGAGGATCCTGGGAGCTCCTGGGAGGCTCAAGGGCAGTGCAGGCACCCCCTGCCCACACCTCAAAAATAAGGGTTTTCTGTCATCAGAACTCTTTATTACAAAGATGTATTTACACAGAATAAATCTTTACAGACATGAGACATGGTCAACAGGGCCCAGCTCAGAGCAAGGGCCCCTCCTTTGGCATATGTCAGTGCTTGACACAGAAACCCCAGTGCTCCCCATTCTCCCACTGTCCTATGTCATGGCGTGGGCAGAGGGGCTCAGAGCCCCCCCTGTGCTCTGGGCAGGCACCCCATGACTTGGGGTTCCCCGGGGTTGGGGGGCTGGCAGTGGGAAGGGGAGAGCAGCTCACCCAGGGTGCAGGGTTAACACCAGGGGAATAAATAGGACGCCCCCACCCAGGGTAAGCTGGAAAAGCTCCTCCGCCTGACAAAGTGCTTTGGTCAAAGCCCACCATCGCGGCAGCACCCAGCCGCACCATGAGCCAGACACGGTGCTGGGCCTCCACGTGCAGCCATGAGGACGAGGTGACTCCAGCCGAGGGCTCACGGATGGAAGTCCATGCTCAGGGCTGAGGCACGAGCAGCACAGGCTGTGGCACTGTACGGGTGGTGGGAGCCACATCCAGGGCAGGCTGGGGACGCCTCTGACACGAGAGCAAAGTCAGGATCCGTGAGTTCCCTCCCAGCAGCATCACACGTGTCTGCGTGTCCCCCCTTGTCCCCGCTGCTCCTCACCTGCCTCAGAAGGGCATTGGACCCTTGTGCGAGAGCCGGGGTCGGGGTCTCCGGTACCTGCGCCAGCTGCCGGGCCGGTGCCCAGCCCTGAGCCGGACACCCCGTGGCCGCACCAGTGTCCGGATGAGGCCATCATTCACATTCTGCCCGTCTGGCACAGCGCCCAGTGGCCCTGGGGATGGCGGGAACAGCATTAGCCAGGTCCCTCACCCCTGCACGTGGGGTGGGGATGTGGACTCCGTGGGGCTTGCCAGCACCACCTTTTCCTGAATTGCCCCCAGCAGGAGCCATTGGCCGGCCTAATGCTTCCTGTGCTGAGCTGGGCCAGACCACCTGCACCCAGCAGGGCCAGCTCGCGTGGCCGCGGCCACCGTGCGGGTACAGACCAGACTCAGGCTCTGTCCCGAGAGCTCCCCAAAGACACCCCCTGTGCTCCCATGCCCCATCGATGGGCAGCACCCGCTGAGCCCCGGGCAGTGCCCCCTTCCCACAGCCTGTGCCCCAGTCCCGGGTGCCAGGCTGAGATGCTGCGGTCCCAGGGCCAGTTCCAGTCCCACCAGCACCAGCCCGGGTCCGGGTCCCGGTGCGGCTGCAGCCTGCTGAGCCGGGGCCGTGCCGGGACCCGCCGTGGGCAGCGCAGCCGGGTAGGGGTCCCGCCGCCAGAACCGACTTTGCCCGCTGCCATCCCCGTGGCACCGGGCGGGTCGGTGGCTGCTCCCCGGCCCTTGGCTGCTGCTGTTTCGGCTGTCGGACGGACGGACAGACGCGGGGAGCTACCGGCACCTTCAGAAGCGCTTTGTCCTGCCCAGCCCGGCACGGGCAGGGGCTGCCGGACCTTGAGCCCCGCTCCTCGCCCCGTTGCCAGCTCGGGCACCGGGCGGCGCCGCAACGGGGAAGGGGATGGATGGGGAGTCCTGCACTCACCCGCGGCGGCCAGGGCGAGCCAGAAGAGGAGCAGCAGCGCCAGGAACCAACGCGGCGCGGCCATGCCGGGGGCTGCGAGCGGCGGCTGCGGCCCCGCCACGGCGGAGCCGCATTTGTAGGCTGTGAGAGCCCGGCCCGGCCCCGTAGCCCGCCCGGTCATGTGGCCCCCGGGCCCCCGGGAGGGGAACCGCCCCCCGGCCCGCCCCTGCCCGCCCCGCTCCCGGGCACCCCCGGCAGGGACCCACCGCACTCCCTCCTGTGGAACCCCCACTCACAGCCCCCAGGGCAATGAGACCCCCCCAGCCTGTCCATGACCCTCCTTTTTGCCCTGGCACCCAGGGGCTGCAGGAGGCTGCCTTGGCACCCCCATGGCCACCCCACCGGTAGCCTCTGTCCTGCAGTCCCCCATCAGAGGGGTTCACCTCTGCCGCTCCCCAGGTCACCCAGCCACTGCCGGGGGGCGATGGGACGACAAAAAAACCCTCTGCCAGGGCACTCATACAGAGCACCATGCACAGAGGTGGGGGAGCTGCAGGCTGCGGGCTGCACGTGCAGCCACTGGCACCATGCTGGTGTGGTGGGTGAGGCCATAGGAACCCGCACTGTGGCAGGACATCACCCTTCAGCCTCCCCAGACCTCGCAGGGGGTTTGGAGACGTTCGACCTTCGTTGTGACTGTCTCCTCCCCTTGCCCTGGCAGCCAGGACCCCAAGTGCCATTCCCGGGGGATTTGGGGCTGAGAGGTGGCCGCAGGGAGGGGACAGTCGGGGCACAACGTGAAACCTTCTGTACCAAGGCCTGACATGGTGACATGGTGATGTGGTGACAGCCGCAGCACAACCCGGGCACTGGCGGGGCTCTGCAAGGCCAGTCACCAGACAGTGGCTCCTCTGGGTCCACTGGGGTCCCCTGGGGAGGTGCATAATGGGGGAGTGTCGCTACAGCGATGTGCTGGGTCCATGTGAAAGGGTTTGCTTGATGGAGGACACAGGGTGGCTTCCGTGAGAAGCTGCTGGAAGATTCCCCCATGGAGGGAGCCAATGCAGCCAGATCCAAGACGGACCCACCGCTGGCCATGGAGCAGCAGATCTCCACCTGCAGCTGTGGTGCAGACGGTGGTGTGGCAGGATGTGCCCCTGCGGCCTGGGAAGGTCCATGTAGAACAGATCTCCACCTGCAGCCCCGGGAGGACTCCACACCAGATCCCTCTGTTCCTGAAGGATGCACTCATGGGAGGGACCCTCACTGGAGCAGTTCATGAAGAACTGCAACCCACAGGAAGGACTCACATCATTGGAGAAGTCCATGGCGAGAGACTCCATGCTGGAGCAGGGGAAGAGTGTGAGGAGGAAAGAGCAGCAGAGACAACATGTGATGAACTGACTACAACACCCATTCCCCATCCCCCTGCACAGCTGTAGGGAGGAGGTAGAGAAAACTGCAAATGAAGCTGGGCCTGGGAAGGAGGGAGGGGTTGGGGAAGGTGCTTTGAGATGTAGTTTTTATTTCTCATTATCCTACTGTGATTCAGTTGGTGATAAATTGAATTCATTTCCCCAAGTCAGCCTGGGTTGCCCATGACATTGGTGAATCATAGAATCATAGAATGATTTGGGTTGGAAAGGACATTAAGATCATCAAGTTTCAACCCCCTGCCCTGGGGGAATGACCTCTTCCTATCCTCATCTGGGGTGATCGTGCTGGACTGTAGGATGGGCTGGGGGGGGGCTGTAAGAGGGGCTACAGGGGGAGGTGTGGGAACCATGCTGATGCCCTGCATGTCTCTGCAGGGAGGAGGACATCCTCTGTGCCTGTCCAGTCCTGCTTGGCACCACCACCACCACTGCAGCCTGGCCAAGGCGCTGGAGCGTTGTAGGGTCCCCATCAGCACCCCAGAGGCGGGTGCTCCCTCAGCAGGGGCCCAGCTCACGGGGTCCGGGACCCCCACCCCTTCAGGGCAGCTGCCAGGCCCTGGGTGCAGAGGGGACCCTCTGGTCACACCCCATCCCCAGGGCGGGCAGGGGCAGGATCGTCACCGCATCCCGGTGCTGGTGCCACCGCTGCTTCCGCATTCCTGCACCGGCACCTTCCTCCTCCACCACGTCCTGTTTGCCGGGCGCGTCACCCCGGCCTGAGTCACCCCGTGGCCGTGCAGGTGACGGAAGGCCAACAATAGCCCACAAAGGGAGGATGTCCCCCAAAGCCTTCCTCCAGCTCGTCTTCGAGGAAACCTCCCGCGGGAGGGAAGGGCCCCACCGGACGCACGGCACTGATGAGACGAGCCTCGTCCTGTTGACGCTGCCCTGCCTGGGGCTGCCCGTGGGGGGCCTGTGACACCCCCGAGAGATAAGGGGAGAGGAGGAGGAGGAGGAAGAAAAGGAATAAGAGGAGGAAGAAGAAGGATGCGCAGCTGCGGGACTCACACTAACACTGTAACCATGGGGATGGACACACTAGCCTCAGCCCCATCCCTTGGATGTGGGAGGGGATGGTATTAAGCCCAGCAATTGGGAATAAAGGAGTGTGGGGACACCCCTGTCTCCACGTGGAGCCATAGCCCAGTGCAGCAGGCAGGGCAGCAGAGGCAGGAAGGACCACGCATGGACACATCATTAACACATCACACTAATTAGCAGGATGCAGCAAAGCACTGCCTGACCATCGCCACAGCAACTGCATCTCAGAGGCAGTTTGGTGTCACCCTGCATGTCTCCATCCTGGCCAATGGAACAGAGGATCCCCTTGACCCCTCCTGGGGTCCCCTAAGCATGGACAGGAGAATGATGCCAGGCTCAGGTGGATGGAGAGCATTTGTGACATGAGCATGCTAGGCCTCAGCTGGAACAGGATGGCAGTGGGATCACCAGGATTTGCTGCCACCGGCCCTCGCGCTGCACCGGAGCTGTGGTGGGACCGGGCGGGTGGGCACGGGACAGGGAGAGGGGACAGGGGACAGGACAGAGCGACAGAAGGACCGGACAGGGCACAGGAGTCAGCGAGCTCCGCAGCGCAGTCCTGGTGCCACCTCGTGGTGAGCGGGATCCCGGTGACAGTGGCTGTGGTGACACACCGGTCACGGCACGGTCACCGCACAGTCACCGCATGGAGCCGAGCCCCCCGCCATGGCACAGCGTTCAGCAATGGCTGTGGGGTTCTCCCTGCATCCCCCAGTCTCTGCCAGCTCCAGCCTTGGGCTGCCACTGGGCACTGGGCTGGGCACCACCATAGCATGACCAGAGGATGCTCTGCACCCCTCAGTGACCTGGTGGAGGAGGAGAACCATGGAGGATGCTCTGCACTGCTCCATGCTATAGAATCATAGAACCACAGACTGGTTTGGGTTGGAAGGACCTTAATTCTCATGCAGTTCCAACCCCGTGCTACAGGCAGGGACACCTTGCACTAGAGCAGGAGGAGATAAGGAGGAAGGCAAGCTTGGGGACACATCTGCCCCCTACCCAAGGACCTCCGTTAGCTCTCAGTGGCTCCAGGGGACAGAGGTTTCTGAGGACACGGGAGAAGAGTTCCTGACAGGCAGCTGAGCTGGCACAGCCCCACCTCTGCTCCAGGAGGATCTTTGGACTTTGGGCTGATTTTGCTGTTTGCTTTTATTTAGCAGCAGAATTCACTGTCAATGCCCAGGACAGCAACCTCCCATTTCCCAGGCCTTGTCCCTCCCATCCAGCATCCTTCACCCCGGGGGCAAAGGCGCAGGAGGAGGGACCTGTCACGCAGGGCACTGCACTGGGGAATCGGGCCCTTCCCACAGCCATGCGCCCCCGGCAGTGGATCCCAGCCTGGCTGCTCCTGCTCCACGGTACTGCGGGGGGCTGGGAGCTGGTGGGGCTCACCCAGGGCTGACACATCCTAGGAACCGGTCTGTGAAGGGTGTCGGGTGCTCTGCAGCAGTTGCAGCCACAGCTGGATGAGGGAAGGGTGGGTTTGTTCTTAGGGAGCCTTTGAGCAGGGGGCTGCAGAGAGGGGCTAAATCTGCCTGACCCCAGGGACGAGCCCTGTGGCGGTGACGGGTAAAAGAGCAGCTCCCAGGGGATGGAGACCAGGTGCCCAAGGCCACATGGTGAGAAGGGTGACCCACTACCGGTGACACTGGCCTGAGACGAAGAACAAGGTCCCTGCCCACAGCTGCAGCGGTGCCAGAGACAGAGAGCTGAGGGCAAGGCGGTGCTGCTGATGGCACCGGACACCCAGCAGCACAGAGGAGAAGCCAGGTCCTGGCAGGGCATGGCCAGGGCTGCCGGGCAGCTCCTCCAGCAACCGCAGCACTGGGACCCTCAGGGCTGGCTCCTGCCAACCCCCTCCCCAGCTCCTGGGCACAGTGGGCACTGTCCACTCCTCTTGAGGATCCCACCACCCCCAGCCCCTCCCCAGCCCATCCCCAGGCTCTGCCTGCTCCAGGAGCATCTACTTGCTCTTGAGCTGGATGACAGCACTGGTTTCACCCACCATCCCCGGGGCTGGAGCCGCTGGTTCCTGTGGATGCCAGCTGGGTCCTCAGGCTGGGGATGAGGGTGACAGCTGCTGCGCGGGTGTCCCCGTGTCCCAGGCTGTGCCACAGCCCGGCTGCCAAAGGCTGCCAACGCCAGGACCGACATCCGTGACTGCTCCGCGGACCCTCCGGTGAGTCCAGCCTGCCCTGTCCCTGGGACATCCAGCATGGGGCGCCCCGGCCCCACGGCCGCAGCTCATGTCCCCTTGTGCCACCAGTACCTGCCCCCGACGGCCACTGACACCACGGCGAGGGTGGCGGCTCTGCGGGGCACCATGCGGGCCCTCGGCGTGCAGGCCTACGTGGTGCCCGCCACGGACGCACACATGGTGAGGCAGGAGCAGGCTGGGACACCGGCACCTGCCCCGCCGCTGCTGCTGGTGCCGGCGGCCGCCTCTCACGGCTCTGCTCCTGTCTCAGAGCGAGTACATCTCGGCAAGGGATGCTCGGCTGGGCTGGCTGACAGGCTTCACCGGCTCTGCAGGTGAGAGCAGCGCCGCCACCGCGGCTGCTCCTCATCCGTGGGGATTCCCGGGGGAGGCCACAGAGATGCTGCAAGGGCTGGAGCAGCTCTGCTCTGGAGCCAGGCTGAGAGAGCTGGGCTGGGTCAGCCTGGACAAGAGAAGGCTCCTGAAGGGGAGACCTGAGAGCAG